GAAAATGTAAATGTCCTGTTCCCTGTGAAGAGAATTTTCGAAACCAGCCTCTGAAATGGACCAAAATACCTAATTCTTGAAAGAAAGGTTAGGAGATTTAGCTGCTTCTTCCACTCAAGATCATAAAGCACCCCCTACCCACTTATATATGCTATATAAAGTGAACAGATACTGAATAGCATGCCAAATATTCTGAGAAATACTTCCTTCACCACACAACCTGTGCCACCCATTGGGACAACAGATAAATCTCATCTTGCTGGTGGTGTGACAAGATGAACAGAAAAGGGGCATCTGTAGACACTTGAGCATCTTAAAAATTTTGAGTTCTACAATTGAGAAGGTACTCACGGGACTCTACCTCTGTGTCTGAAATGCCTGCTCCTGCTAGAGTGGTACAATTGTCATTTTTTGTTCCTTCAAAACAACACACAACTATTTCAAGCACACAAGGATGCTGAATCGTTTTACAAACAAATTTTATTTCTTACTGACTAAAGCTGTACATGCTGCAAATACTACTTTGACTTCTGTACTGCCTAGGCAATTCCTGTTGTCCTTAGGTGCTCCTGGCTAGTGCAGGCATTTTTCAACACACCAACTTCCATGCAAAATTTCACCGAGGAATTTGGCAGAAGTGTAACTGCTAAATGAGCAGCGATCAAATAGTTCACCCAATCAGTTTTCTAATTCACCACAACTGCTATAAATACTACCCATTATTACTAAATGTAGCTTTTAGGGGAAAAATACATGCAAACTTCCTGCAGTATCTAATCTATGTGAAAATTACACAGAACAGCACATTAAAATCTAAGTAAACACTTTGGCATACTCTTAATGTATGTGCATAGATTACTCGGGTGTACTTCTAGGATAAGTACCATTTGATGTTCAGATTATTGGTGGATATTTAAAGTTGATTACCCTAGAGATAAGATATAATTGGTAAACAAGGAACACATACAGAACAACAACATAATAACCACAAGTTTCATTTATTTCACAATTTATTTCTACACTTGGGACAACAATTACATAAAGATACTAATTATTTTTTAAAACTAAAAAAATGAAATCAGAAAGTACCAAAAGCATCAGTTTTCATGATGTCACATTATGACCTGAATGAAAGACCTTACCTTCACTATTACAGCACCACAACTGACACTGTGCTACTTTGAAACTTGCGCTGCATTGCAGACACGGAGGCAAAACAAGAGCTCTCAAAAGGTACAAAACACTGTGCATCCTCACAGGGTTACTTGTAGAGAAAGACTTATACAGCCCAGCAGTAAATCTCAGAGCTCCACTTCTGACTTCTTTTTGGTTTACAGCACTTCAAGGCAAGGAAAACACTGGTCATGGCAAAGGCTGGTATTTATTTCAGCAGCAAAGTGCTAGAGATGGAAGAATAAACATGCAGCAGCAGATAATAAGAGGAAAAACAAAATGAATGTAGGTAATAAGAGATCAAACAGAGAAGAGTCACCGGTGTGCTAACAAGATTACTGAAGAGATCAATCAACTCACAGATGTGATGGTAGGGACACGTTCACTTGGCTAACACATATTTAATTACCTATATTATTTATCCATTTCAGTGTAGGCACCTTGTCTAGACTTTGTTTACACCCAGCTGTAAGCTGCTTCTGGGTTTTTTCTCTCTCTCATCTTATTTTTACAGGATCTTTTGCTGCACAATATGGTTCAATTGTAGTCTCCTTCCAGATTTCTGCTCCCTTATAACTGTAAAGCACTGAAAATAATTAATGTTTGTTTTATTCCTCTTTGATGACCTGAATTAGCCACTACCATCAGGGCCAAGCCATCAGCCTCCCTAGTAATTGAAGTTACTGCCTCTCAGGATGGAGAACAGCTCCATTTTCTGAATGGTGTGGGAAGCTGAACTAGAGACAGGTACCCTGATCCCCTTCAAATGTCAGATGTTACAGCTGACAGCCAAAGGGATTTTTGAAAGTAAAATCTAGGGAAAAGATTCTTCACATTGAAAGCATTATTGAATAAGGTGGAAATTAACAAATAAAAACTGGATAAATAAAAAGAGTTATATAAAAAAAAAAGAGTGTTTAGACAGTGTCCTACACAGTTGATTATGTTTGAGGTATCTGTTAATAAATGCACAGCCTAACTGGATTTGAATTTAGGACACATCAGGATCACCCCATGAAACTACACTTCCTCCAGAAGTGCATGTGCCCAATGCCAGCACATATCAAACTGATTTCAAGCACAAAGAAAGTAAATGCCCTGAATTGCTGCTAAAAGACAATGTGAGAATCTCACAGAACTCTATGACAACAGATGCACTAAAAGACCTTGGAGTAGCAGTCTGAGCCTTCCTCACATAAAGATGAGACTCCAGCAGTCAGATAGATGAGGCTATAAAACACACAGGAAGAAGGAATGGGTTCTGGTTAAATCCTACCCAGAGCAGCCATAGAGGAAAGTCTAGCTAAAGTCCATTTAAGCACTGATCTAAGCAGTAGGAATGGCTAGATGCAGCTATGAAGTAACTTTAGTCAGTTAAATCAGCACATTAACATGTGAGCAGGAAAAAAAGCCATATGCTGTAAGAGTATGGAAAAAAAAAAGGACTGAGACCTAGAATCACATGGCTCAAGGACACAGCAGCAAGAACCAGGCATTTTGCAACTTGTATTTCTTTTAAAGATCTGACACCAATTTCTGGAACACTTGTTGGCCACAGGCACACCTGCAAGAACAACCCTGTTAGCAGTACCCTAAGGTGGTACCAACTCCAGTGCTAACTCCAGATCTCTCCACAGAATTCATGTGGGCTGTAAAATGGTTACTCTCTCCTTGGAGTGGCTTTCATTGCAGAAAAGTATTGTCCATATAATCTGTAAAGTGCTTTCAGAACAAAGTCACTATAAAAACCTCATACCTGAGGTAGCAGGCAGGGTGGTGTTTCCCACCAAGTTAAAAATGCAAACTTTGTAGGTGAAAAAGACCTCTGGAAGCTGCACTACCATATCTCCAATGAAGACAGAGCCAGTTTACAAAAATAAATAATCCAAGCCTCACACTTTGATGTGCAAAAAACCAAACCAAAAACCACAAAAGACTACAAGTGCAACTCTGCTGAGTAAAAAAAATAAAAAATAAAAAAAATCCAACAAACACAAATAAGGATTTACAGATGGAGAGCAAAATGGGAAAAAAAGTTACTTAAATCACCTTAGATAAGAAAAGATTTAAACCAGGAACAATTATATTCTACTGGGAACCTAACTAATGATTTTAACAACTTCAAGAATCTCATGCATGCTTTTGTCTCCTCATCATTTTGATTTCATAGGGCACCTAATAGAAACCTCATGTGCTTCACAATGAGGGAGAGGAAAAATGTTTTTGTTAAACATTACTTCTTGAGTTTTGGTGGTAGTGAGCATCTCTGCCATCTGTCTTAACAGAATTTCAAACAGCATTAGAAACATGGGCACACTGTTCTGATTATTACTTGCTTTTCAGGGCAAAGGAGGTGTGCTCCAATTAACAAGTGTTCCTAAAAAGCCTGTAAATGTTTCAGTAAAAGATCTTTGGAATCCAGACATGAAATTCCTGAATTCACCTAGTGCCACTGCATCTAAAGCTGGCCAGGTGCAATTTTTAAACTGTTCTATAGAAAAGGCATTAAAAAAATCCTACCATAACACAGCTTTGCCAATAGCTCCTTCTTTCAAATTACTTTAAATTATATCACAAATGGAGAGCTTGCAAGAGAATATGGAGAGATTCTGTGCTAAGTACATGACAGAGATAATGGAAACCAATGTAATCCAGAAAAGCCAGTTCTGCTACCAGAAAGTAAGGACAGTTATCTGCCTAGAAAAATAAAATGGACAAAACAAACAAAAAAAGGTCTTTATCATAGAAGAAGAGTTTTCTCATGTATTTCGATTACCAAAACATCTAGGATTTACTTAACAGCTTTGCTGACAGATCTCAGAGGCATTGAACTAAAAAAGGATTATATAAAAATAATATATTTAAACAGTGTACATCAAGTCAGCTTTTGCATAAACACATCATTGCCCATGTGTGAACATGGAAAAGGCATACTGATGCAATTCATCAAGGCAGGTATTCCCTATCTTTTCTCACATTACTAAAATAGGGAAACACTGTTCACACTGTGGTTCAATTCTTCAGTGGCTGCAAGATAATGAGGAACATTACCCACTAAAAAAATATTCCCAACCACCACTACGAGTTTATGTATATTAAGTAGCCTGATGTAGCAAGCAAATGCAGTCCAGGCAGAATCACAAGAAAATTGGAGACTATATGCTCAAATAATTCTTCTGGGTTTTGATATTATCAGTCCAAATAAGTAACAAGGTAACACAGCATCTTACTGTATGTGAGCTCACCCACATTTTAACTTTTGAATTTTAACTGCAGTCTTTGAATCATTACAATAAAACCAGAAACAAGTCACATTCCTTTATCATTCTCTTCAGCAACCTAAATAATTCAAGTATTCTGCTCAAAAAGCATATTCTTAGATTATCTTTGTAGATTTCCTCAGCTTTTGTTCTGAGACAGGTTAAGAGTCCAGCAAGCATAGTAAGAAACAAAAGCTATGATCAGAGGGTCCAGAGAGGCTCAACATGCCTTGCTTGATATCAAGGACAGAGTGTGGTATGCTTATTCTCCACCCTTCTTTTTACTATTTTCCCCCTTCTTGGTTTATGAAGGAGAAACTCCTTCATGCATCTCCTTTGCATGTTACTGCTCCCCAGTTCTCCATGCCAACAAAAATTCTGCCTCATTCTTTTCTTGCCATTTTGGAAACATGTTACTTAAGTCATTAGTTTAGCTCATACTGGGGAGACTTTTAAGACTCATAGGGTTGACCAAGCAGACACACAAGGCACTGCGACACAAATACCTCTGAGCTTTCCAGTGTGTACATCATGATGTAGTCCTGTCAAATGGCACCTCAAGTTTAGGAACAGATTGGCTGCTGAGTCCAAAAGCAGCAGCAGTACAGATATTATTATACTGTACCTATATTTCAGTTTGGCTAATGCAATCATTCAACGCAGCAGCTCATCAAAAAGACACTCAAGAAGAAGTGTAAACTCTGTGGCTTTTGTCAGCAAGGTCATAGAATCATAGAAACGTTAGGGTTGGAAAGGACCTTAAGATCATCTAGTTCCAACCCCCCTGCCGTGGGCAGGGACACCTTACGCTAAATCATCTCACCCAAGGCCTCGTCCAACCTGGCCTTGAACACCGCCAGGGATGGAGCATTCACAACTTCCCTGGGCAACCTATTCCAGTGCCTCACCACCCTAACAGGAAAGAATTTCCTCCTTATATCCAACCTAAACTTCCCCTGCTTAAGTTTTAACCCATTACCCCTTGTCCTGTCACTACAGTCTCTAATGAAGAGTCCCTCCCCAGCATCCCTATAGGCCCCCTTCAGATACTGGAAGGCTGCTATGAGGTCTCCACGCAGCCTTCTCTTCTCCAGGATGAACAGCCCCAACTTCCTCAGCCTATCTTCATATGGGAGGTACTCCAGTCCCCTGATCAGCCTCGTGGCCCTCCTCTGGACTTGTTCCAACAGTTCCATGTCCTTTTTATGTTGAGGACACCAGAACTGCACACAATACTCCAGGTGAGGTCTCACAAGAGCAGAGTAGAGGGGCAGGATCACCTCCTTTGACCTGCTGGTCACGCTCCTTTTGATGCAGCCCAGGATACGGTTGGCTTTCTGGGCTGCAAGCACACACTGACAGCTCGTGTTCATTTTCTCATCAACCCCCAAGTCCTTCTCTGCAGGGCTGCTCTGAATCTCTTCTCTGCCCAACCTGTAGCTGTGCCTGGGATTGCTCTGACCCAGGTGTAGGACCTTGCACTTGGCATGGTTAAACTTCATGAGGTTGGCATCAGCCCACCTCACAAGTGTGTCAAGGTCCCTCTGGATGGCATTCCTTCCCTCCAGCGTATCAACTGAACCACACAGCTTGGTGTCATCGACAAACTTGCTGAGGGTGCACTCACTCCCACTGTCCATGTCAACAACAAAGATGTTGAACAAGACCGGTCCCAACACTGATCCCTGAGGGACACCACTCGTTACTGGTCTCCAGCCGGACAGTGAGCCATTGACCACAACTCTTTGTGTGCGGCCATCCAGCCAGTTCTTTATCCACCGAGCGGTCCATCCATCAAATTGATGTCCCTCCAATTTAGAGACAAGGATGTCATGTGGGACAGTGTCGAATGCTTTGCACTGTCCTAAAGATCCTAAAGGGAAAAACATAAGTGATGAAGAAAAAAATTCTACAACTTCTAGCAGCCAGCAGATCAATGAAATACATCAGTACATCTCATCTCATGTCTTAGCAGATGATGTTTGGCCTCATGGAACATGCAATTAGTCAAAACTGGTAAGAAAAGATCTTCACAGAGCACCATCCCAGCACCACTTTCACTGATAATTGTGAATTCTAACCTACAGCACAGTTTTCTAATACATAAAGATCTAAAAGTTGCTCACAGAACAACTGCTCTGAATTATGAATTTGCATTTCTCCTCAATCACACACTAAAGCCCTAACTTATTGTGCACGTCTGATTAGTATGTGAGAACAATGCATACATACGTTAATCACAAACTGCTTTTGTTACAGGACATTTTTCTAATTAAGGTTAAACTGGCTTTGAAAGGCTTCAAAAGATAAGGAAAATTAAACATGTTTGGTTCAGCAGCCTATCATAACCTTATCACAGAGCTGAGTGATTTCAGAGAAATGAGAGCAATGTGTTTATATGTGCCTGTAGAAGCATGTTGCATAACAAATACACAGCCCATAGGAAGTGATTACTTCATTGCATTCCTAGAGAAGACAGCATCCGACAAAACTTTGTTTTTCCCCTCACTCTCTGGAGGCAGTGTTGCCCCAGTACCTGTGCAGCCAGTACTTAATAGAGATGACTCGCAGACTACTTCAGACAGCACAACAACTATGCTTTCCCTCCACTGTGGCAGCAGAACTGCACCAACTGGCATCTGCCCAATTATAAAGTTAGAAAATGTGAAGAAAGTCAAAACTTCAAGAACCCTGCCTACATTTTGGGTGACTTCATTGTAACTGAAATCTTCATCCCCCCTTGGGTTAACCATATTTTCACATGCAGCATCCTTTATGGGATTATGTGCTTTGGGGCAGTGGGAAAGGCTGCCTCACCTTACACACAGACATACTGGCCTTTCCTCTTTCCTCCTACATAGAAATGTAGGATGCAGCTTAAGAAGCATGCACAGATTTATCAACCCACCCCAGGGCTTTTAAATTACCATCCAGCATAAATTACTTGACAGAAAAGTTGCAGCCCTGCTCTTAATTCTTGACATGAATTCTGGGCTACAAAGCAAATGAAAGCAATGCTCTAGCTTTAACAACACTTGCTATGTAAAATAGAAAGACTGCCTTAAGGAGGAACCCAAAGACTTTGTTAAATGATGTTACAATTACTGCTTTTTTCTTCCTTGCTTAGGAACAAGTTTGTCTGTCTCTGCCATTCATGTGCTGCAGTTACAATATGAAATCAATGAACATTGCTCATTCCTAGTCTCTCACACTCAGTTAAGCACTAGTTACATAAAGTCATGTCTCTTTCCCCAAGCACAAGCTTTAGGATATATAAGCCATTTACTGTCTGTCCTCGTGGGTTTTTATACACAAAGTATCTTTCCTTTTAAAGAAGAAACCTTTTCTGGGGAGTAGTAAAAACCACATTGGTTACATCACTATAATGCAATCATAGCAGTATTTTGTTCAATAGTTTGGAACATAGAATTTTACTGGCAGAAAGGAGAAAGATTTCCATGCAATAATAAATGCTACAATCCTAAAATAATCACTTCACTTGCATACACCTTCAAAACATATACTAGTTTATTATTACTGGTATGGAGGGAATTCTTTCCCTGTGCTAGATAAAACTGTCAGGTGTTCAGAATCACAATTCTTTTTCTCCTTTTACTCACACTTTCAACCCAGTGGTAACATATCCCATTATCTGGCTTGCACTAATTAGCAACCATAATGACAACAACAAAAAAAAAAAACACAGCTATTTTAAATGCAGATATATTTTATGAAAAACAACATAAATTGTCATGGCAGCCTAACTTACTAAAAGGATGAAAAGGAAGAAAGTAAAGAAATCCACAAAGCTGAGTAAAATTACTTTAAATTCTGACTGAGTGAAGGCATATTTCATGGCATGAGAGAAAGGTATATTGGCTATTACTGCCTTGCACAATCAAATAAGCTGCCTGGTTACAAGGAAAAAGTGCTACCTATACAAAGACCAAGAGGAGACCCTAATTATTTATTAGCACATTTCTTAGAATCTTCTATTTCAGTAAAACAGCAAAAGGAGAAAAAGTTATCAGACCTGCCAAAGAGTACCAGCATCGCAGTTAATATTAGAACAATTATTAGCAATCTTTTTTTCCAGAATCCAGAAAGTTTTACAAACATGGTCACTTGTTAAAATGTAAATATTAAAGTACCTGCTCAAAGCAGTGTTTGCAAGCTCAGCAGCTTTCTCTCTTGAAGAAATTTTTCCCTCAGTTGGGCACTGCAGCACACCCTCCATCACTACAGACTCACGGGGAGCTGTCAGAAGCTGCCTTCTGGGTTAGAGCCTGTATGAAGACCTGGTTGGATCAAAATCTTTGCAGTTGTAGCGTCGGCGGCCATTAAGTCCTCCAAAACATGATCACTACAAAACTTAACACACCTTGTTTTTTCACAGACTTCTTCAGCCACAGGTGCTACAGTGCTGTGAATGCTCAGTTTTATAGGGTTTTCTAGCAAACTGGTTCATTAGTAGAACAGATGCTAACTAATATTTTCAATTCATTTCCAAAGCCCCACTACTCTGGGAGTGCTTGCTGCTCCCTTGCCTTGGCTGCTTTGCAGCAGTAAACAGAATGCTGTATGGCAGGGGGAGAGGGAGGAGGAAGTATTCATTTTCTGTTCAGATCCAGCAAACCAATTCAGAAGTGGTGTTCCACTAGGTGAGACACGTATGCAGTGAATATTTTCCAATTACAAGAAAAAGCATCCTGTTAACAGGAGTATAATCAAGGATAACACAGACAGCAAAAGCATCTGGGGTGTCCCACCACATCAGACAACACCCCCCAGTAAGGGCTACAAACTTGAAGCTGAGTGGCAAGGCTGACAGCCCAAAATCATAGGGTAGTTAATAATTCCCAAGAGAAACAAGAGCAAGTGTGAAGTCCTGTACCTGGGGAGAATGAATTCAAAGTGAAGACCTAAAAATTTGCTACAGGTTTACAGATCACATGCCTACCGACACATAACCTCCCAACCTTCAAACTGCCAGAAATTCTCAAGAGAAATTCAACAAAGTATTTCAAGTAACAGAAAAAATATTAGCAATGCAAACCCATTCAACAGTTCTTAAAAGCATCTCTGTTCACATCAGCATTCAAAAGCAGAGAATCAGAGCGGGGCCAGGCATTTCAGTGCACACATATGAGAAAGAATATCAGAAGTGCTCACCCATACACTGCTACTAATCTATATCCACTGGCATTCATAAGCCAACCAGGCTGCTTAAGGGACCATTCATCAATAATAATTCGGAAGATGAGCAAAAGGTAAAAGTGCCATTTTAAAGATAAATAGTATTTATTACTTCAGTTTAAAGGTTATTTTGGTAATGTCACTTGTGAAAGTAGCTTTACATGCTACAGCACAAATAATAGCTATGAAAATAGACAAGCAGTTCAATCAAGAGTCAATTTCCCTTCATACTCATTAACTAAAAAAAGAAGTTAACGTTTTCCAAGTCATGAAAAATTAGGATAACAGACTTTAAAGACCGGTTCCAACCTTTCCCTGCAGTACCACCAACTACTCTTAAGATCCTCATGGATTTATCTAATGCAACACTCTAACTTCCCCTACACATCTCCTAAACTTACTCCATATACCACTATTCTCAGCTCCCTCCAACATCATGAAATTACCACTGTTTAAAAGGTGGCATAAAGCATGGCTGATTCAGAGCTACACATCCTGAATGGTCAGAAAAGATAAACATAGCCAGTAATTGTTGAACCCACATTGCAGCTTCTCTCCCATTGCAGATACTAATTTGAGCATGTTTTCTACAGCCAGCTGCAATCTTCCTTCAAAGTAAACAAGCTTTGAGATCTCTACTCCTGCGTCAAAACTGATCGGAAATGGATGATAGGACAAAAAATTACTGGAGATGCTGACAAATGGGGGAAGAGGGGGAGAAAGGCATAAGACTTCAGTGAAAAGCCAGACTAAAAGTGTTGTCAGTGCTATGACCAGCAACTTTGTTCATGATACAGCATAGTAGGAAAGTATTAGCTGAGGTTTCAAAGACTGATAATCTCTTAGATCTGTGCTCTATTATGCTCTTTCCTTTAACACTACCCACTGACATAAGCAAGCCAAGTACCATCTGAGTGTAAGAAGGGAGGTATTGCACAGTACTGCAACAACATGTTTTGTGCTGGCTGCCAAGGAGCAAAAATTAGACACTGAAAGATGCCAGTAATATCTTTATTTGCTACCATTAAAAAGATCCAAAATCATCAATTAGAGTATTTATAATTTTGGAAATATCAGCTGACCATATAGATGTGTATACCGAGAAAACTTTTTCTCCCAGGAACCGAGGAGGTTGCTCCAAACTTCACAAGCTTTTTGATGTGCTTTAAGTATACACACCTTCCATTGTTCCACCACAGCGTGGCATGACAGAAACAGCCAGGTGGCTTTATAAAACATTTGCACTGAAAAAGCAGAGAAAGGCTGCATTACAGGAAAACAGCCTTCTGCACATAAGCTTTTCTGGCACATTTTGCGCCTAATCCTGGTCAGCAAAACTGCTTACAAAAATACAGTTAATGCTGTTAAGGCAATAAGTACTTACTCATCTTTGAGGTTTTACAGGCAGCTGACACCTTCCAAAGCCAATCTAGTTATATGAACTGAAATCTCCATGCACAGCACATTTATCACCAAGATGCAATGTTGGTACATTAATTGATGCACCCTTTATAGTGTTCAAAAAGTAGATGAACATAAAACATCTACTGCCTGAACTGCTGAAAGAATTCATTTTCTTAAGACACTATGCAACAAATCGAGTTCAGCTAGCATCAACTTTTGTGGTCAACATGTTTAACATGAGCACCATAGCTCAACTGTTTTCACCAAAGATGCTGTATCAACACGGATTGTTCATTCACTCTATGAATGAATTCTGTGTCAAATGAGTTTCACAGTTGGCACTTACCAACAGATGCTTTTCTTTCTTGAGCAGCTGGCAGACAAAGTGTACCCTGTCATAAATCACATCCACATTA